TGATGTACTGAAAAGGGAAAATAGATGATAAAAAGGAAGCATAGTAGAATCAAGCGAAAATGGGTGCAATTTACAAATAAAGAAGTCAGTTTGAAAAATAAAATAAAATGCTTCTACAACGTACATTAATCACTTTCAACTTCTATGCAAACCAGGATAGCCATGCACCACTAGCAAGATGCAACATAAAACTTCATTCAGCCTGGATTCACGATCTCAAGGAAAGCTTTTATTCAATCCTCCACTCATCAACCCATTCAGTACTTAGAAGCTACAGAATCTCTATGGTGGAACATTGCCCACTCTTTGTCACCATCACTTAGATGCTTTTCGTTCATTCACCTTCACTGGTTTAAAAAGCGATTTTTTTGACAGTTTATTATAATTTAAGTAGTTTCCATGTCATAGTTCAGTCAATGATGTACTAACCATATCAACAGATTAAAATGTGTCAACCCATCACAGAACTGAAACATAATTGCATTGCTACGAATTGCTTACCAGGATCAATTCCATCAGTGTTTGGAGCTTCAAATACTGGAGCCAAGATTGTAACATTTCTGACTGTTACATTCTTGCAGTCATATGGATGGAGTGTCCAAAACGGGGAATCACGCAAAGTTATATTAGAGATCAAAATGTCACTTGACCACATTATCTGCACAAGTGGGCCCCTCGTGTGATTGAGAAGCTTTTGGCGATATTTCTTCCACCATGTTTGTCCTTGTCCATTGATGGTTCCATTATGTCCTGTCAGTCAGTGAAAACAAATACTAAATTAAACCAAGTCATAAGCAATAAAATTCACAATGAGGACAGGTGCAAGCCTAATTATGATTACATTGGAGTACCAAACCCACTTACCTTCAAAATCAAACTATTCCAGATTTAACTTTCAGCAAAACAGAGGACTTCTTTCACTACTAGACACAACTTTCTGTTATACCTAAGATGTTTGCCTTCCATTTTGGTTACTCTGCTGTCCTTGCAAGGTAATTCCTAGTTTCTAAATTTAATGAATAAGTTTTGAGCAACATTTGCCTACCACTGGGAAGTAGCATGTCCAATGACATCCAAGGTCATGTGACAAGGTGCTGCAGGAACCAGGTATCTCATATTCCATCCTCAAATAAAAAGTTCAAGAATATCCAGAATACATCATTTGATAACCCTCCTTCAGCACAAATATATTGGATACAACTACTATGTTTGCCACGCATGTCAAACTTAAAACTATAGTGCTCAAAAGGCCAACCAAAATGTTTTAATACAATTACCAGTTCCCTTGGTAAGACCACCCACTTTGTCTATACACATTTCTTGTTCCAATAAGATCATTAATTTTGATAATGATCTCCGGGATAACTCCTAGCGAGGCTGATCAGGTTCTCGAAGGCTACCTATGACATTTTTTGACAGAGACATGCACTAAGTTTGTTTATATGGCAATTGATTTTTCAACACCTTCAATTGTTATCATTGAACACCCAAAAAGATAAACTCCTAAGAGTGATTTTTATCTGTCATTTGCTCCCAAAGTCATGTATCGTAACTGCCTTTTCCTATCAGGGTGATAAATTATTGAGCAAGAGAAAATGGAACAGGGAAAAAAGATCAAGGCCTGAATAATAAATATATATTAGTAACAAAAATTAAGTCAGCAAGATGGAGAGTGTCTGATAACTGACCTGTTATGACAACATCTTTAAGGTTTTGCCCATGGATCAAACTCCCATAACGTGGGCCAGGGTGTTCTCTCCCATAACCATATGAAGGCAATGGAGGCATTAGTGGCCAATACTTCTCATTCTGTTTAAATATTACATATAATAAGGAAGCCAGCATAACCAAGATCTCAAGTCAAAAACAGATGAAGAAATGAAAGAGTAAAAGAGGAGCTAATTCAGTGGCTGAGATGAATAGTTCAATCAGCAAGAACTCAGTCACAACCATGATGTCACAAACACGTCATGGTCATGACAGTCTGTCAAGATTCCAGCAATACTGTAAGATTTTATACAAAATATATATGCAAAAAAATCAACTAAACCACAACTGATGCAACAACAACAATATCTTCAGCAGCATAGCTTTTGATAACACGTCAACAGTAAATATACATTGAATCACCAATCTCCTGCATCCCAAACATGTTTAAAGTATAGAGCAACAACAGTGTATGTCTAGTGTATGGAGACCCATCCATATTATCAAGGTAAATAAATAATTTTTTTAAATTAAACAATTATTGAGCAAAAGAAAATAAATTGAAACTAAATAAAAAGGTAGGTTTACATATCGTTTAGATCACCTAACTGATATTGACATTGTGTTGATCACTATTATTATTCTGACTAATAAAGCCAAACAGTCATCTTCTTTTCTTTTCCTACACTAAATTTCCCTTGGTGTCTCATGCCTTTTCCATCAGGGCCAGCGCCCTAACTGCTTATCCTTCTTATTTTTGGAGTTTACTAACAACTTTGGTATAGCTATGACATCTGCTTCAGAGCTGCTTTGCTATGTTCCAGTCATTAAATTTTAAAATAATGATTTGTGATCACTGTATAGGTTATGTAATTATGAAGCACATGATGTATAACTCCAATGCATCCCTTTAGATGCAAAAATGAGATGCAAACTTGGATGTATAGAACTACTCAACATTCAAATATGAGTATTTTCATACATTGCATCACATACAAACATGTTTATATGCAGAAACATGGGTTTTACTCAAATCATGAGCCTGCTGTGACCCTCTATAACAACCTTTTTTTCTGTTTGCTATATATCTTTACAAAAATGGTATCTATCTGTTATCACGACTTCTCGGTATAGAAGTACCTTGTTTAAGACTTACGCTAAGTCTAAACTCAAATTTTATAGCAAAGAATAACGTCTGCTGACATATTGAAAAGTATGTTGAATTACATAACTTAATTTTTTCCATATGCTATGTTAATTGTAGGGCTAAGCAGAAACTCGCAGAGTTTTCATCTTATAATCGATGAAAAAGAAAAAAAAAAAAAATTGTAAGATAGACACTCAAGGCCACATTAATGTTTCTATAAATGACCAAAACTCCTACACATCATCTCTGAATCAGAATAACAAATCCTAAACGAAGGGTAATAATTTCCAATCCACCACATAACTAAAACCAACCTAACGAAGTGAAAAATCCCCCCAAAAAACATAGAAATAAAAATAATCACCAACCTGGATTCCAAGAATCTCAGCATCCTCAGCAAGAAAAAGAGTCATATGACTAGTTAGATTAAACGGCGCCGTAAGCCATTTTCCAGGAGGCACATTAAGCTGTGCGCCACCTCTCTTACCGAGCTTAGAAATAGCAGAAACCGCTCTCTCAAAAGCCTCCGTATTTACAGTCAAGCCGTCTCCCACTCCACCAAAATCCGTTAAATTAAAAGCCACAGGTCTCAAAGTAGGGATCGGCCTGGCAGAGACTCCCCATCTAAAAAAAGAAAAGCCTCCGAGGACGACGTTTCGCTGCCAAAGGAAGACGGAAGCGAAGGCGGCCATCCATAGGACGGTGAAAAGAGTCTTGTGAGAGGAGAGAAATGTCGGGACCCAGCGCCGGACGTCGAGGCGGGAGTGGTGGAAATGAAAGCGCCCTACGCCCAGTGTCTCCACCATGATTTAGGTTTTAATTCAGAGTCATGAATTAAAATTTTATTTTTGTAGGTTTTGGAAGATGAGATCTAATAGGTTGAAGAAATTAGTTGATATGTTAGTGATCAGAGTAATTCGTTACGGAGTACATTTGAAGGAAAGACACCGACTGAATTGAGGTTGAAAGAGAGAGTACAATGATGAAGTAACTGCGGGTTCCATAAACAAATTATGAGACCGTCCCTAGATCGGGACACGCGTATTATGATACTTCCTGTATTACATAAAGGGATAATACTACGAATAATCCTTTGGGTACTAATAGATGGGTACTAATATATGTACTAACTAAAGTATAGTATTTGTACTATATACATAGTACGAATACTATGCTTTAGTTAGTACACAGATTAGTACCCATCCGTTAGTACCTATAGCATCACTCTAATACTCACATATATCATTTTCATACAATATTTCTCATACAATATTATGTGATAAGATATGATTAGATAAAAATTTAATTTTAATTTTAAATTAGCCAATCATATCTTACCACATAATATTGTATGAAAATGATGTATGTATAGTATTACTCTACATCAAGGGACCGTTTGCATAAGCGGTATATCAGATAACATGTATAATTTTCATTTATTTTGTAGGATTCTTACGTTTGATTTGTAAGTCATAAGATATTACAATCTTTTATTGTAAAAAATATTTATGGTTGACAATGTGGCGAATAACCTTATTACTTTGTTAGAGAGTGTTATTAAAACATTATCGAGATAATCTAATTTTTTTACCCATTTTGCCCTTAATTAAAAATCACTCTTGACATAATTGCCTTCAAATGTTTACTAAATAACAATTACACAGCTCCCCTACATTTGAGAAATTAGCTAAAACACCCCTGTCACAAAAAAAATTAAAAATTAACAAAATATCTCCAACCACCTAAACCACCATCGGTCGTGACTCACAGAGGTGGAAAAGTAACCTGCCCAGCCTGACTCGCGGCGGGTTACTTCTTTTAGCGGGTTGGTCCTAACTCGCTCGCCAACAAAGGCAGGCCCAGTTAGGCCCGCCATTTTTGGGGTAATGGCTGGCCCAACCCGGCCCCTAACCCGTCGGGTTAGGCTGCGGGTCGGGCTAGATTAACCTTATTTTTTGATTTTTTTTTTTTTTTGTTTTATTTAGTTAACTTTTCAAATAAATAATTAACGATTTATAAATGAATAAATGTAATTGTTTTTAGTTAACTTTTCAAATATCAATAATTAAATTAAATTAAATATTTTTTTATTAACATTTCAAATATTAATTCAATTTTANACAATCTATCATGAGCCATCTATGCATGTCTTGAGTAGATAAGCCCTTCATCAAAGCGGGAATTGCTCACACGCTTATTTAGCAAGCTTTGTCCAGTCTAGAGGCACTTTCTCATCCATGGCACTATCCATTTCTTCTACTGCACTCTCAACCCTCCCAACAAGGTCATTTACAGCTGTTTCTCAACCATTTTATTTTCTCTGCAAAGCTATAATTTTTTTTTTTCTTTTTCTTTTTCCTGCTTGTTACTGCAAATGATCTTCTTTGTTGATTTCTTAATTTTTTTTTTGTTGATGAACAGGGACTTATCTCAAAAGTTCTTGCCAGTGAAACTTCCAACATGCTTAGCAGCAAGAACTCGTGTGAATGCAGCAAAAGGGGTGTCAAGTGTATGTGAACCACTCCCTCCGGATAGACCACTGTGGTTCCCTGGCAGTACAGCACCCGAGTGGCTTGATGGCAGGTAGCTTTTGCTTTCATCTAATCCGCCGGAATTCAAACAGAATTCCGGCCAGTTCGATAAATTGGTACTCTAAAACATGGAAACTCATGTGTTTGGAACCACTATTGATAAATAAATAGCTTAAATCATAGTGGCCACAAGAATGGCAAATGCAAAATTGAAAAAGTGATTATAATGAGAACTGGACAGAGCTTATCTGGACACTGCGGTTATGTCCTTTCTGCATACTTTCAGTTCTTTTGATTTTTATTAAAGCATGCTTGAACATTGTTTTTATGCTTTCTTCATCTTTTATTGGTAAGAAAACTTGCCTTTTCATATTTAGACACTAGTTTCCTGCATAACTTTCACTTTGAATAAGGTATTACCAATGGCATTATTACTTTCAAAAACAGTTTTCCTGGTGCCTAAAGAAGGGAAAGCTAGCAATGATTTTAACAAAGTTCCTTAGTGGAGTATTATCAAGCAGAAAGTTAATAAAATATACACTGCTAATACATACTTTATTTAATTCAATCCTTTTTGTCTATTTTTTTTTTAAGTGGCAGCAAAAGCATGTAGAAACAATTTCTAGTAGATTTTGCTTGGAATGCTTGAGTATGTTAGTATGAGTTTATGAGACTAGAATAGGCTAGTTTTGTTTGGATCATGGAGTATGACTTTTCTCTTTACTGTTGACAGCCTCCCTGGAGATTATGGCTTCGATCCTCTTGGATTAGGTAATGAGTTTTGGGTCAACTTCCTATAAGAATGTACTGAACTTCTGAAAAAACTCTGATTTTCAGAACTTGTTCATGCTAATTTTAGTAGATACATCTCTGGTATCTAGTTTTCGGTGAGAACTGTTTTACAGATGACTTTATGGAGGTACAGTTGTATAATCTGTGGTATGAGATGAAGCAGCAGTAAGCTTAATTTTCATGGTCCAGGATTTTGTGGCATATATTAACCTTTATCCCTCAGAAGAAGCTCTTCCTCCAAAGATGCTGAAATCATTTGATATCATTCATTATGTTTTAGCGATTGTCTTCCAGGTTCTGATCCAGAGTCGCTTAAATGGTTTGCACAAGCGGAGCTGATGCACGGCAGGTGGGCAATGCTGGCTGTGGCCGGAATTCTCATACCAGAATGGCTTGAGAGCCTAGGCTTAATTGAGAACTTCTCATGGTATGATGCTGGTTCTCGCGAATACTTTGCAGATCCCACAACCTTGTTTGTAGTGCAGTTGGCGTTGATGGGTTGGGCTGAAGGCAGAAGATGGGCTGATATGATTAAACCAGGGAGCGTCGACATTGAACCAAATCTCCCAAACAAGAAGAAGCCAACACCAGATGTAGGTTACCCAGGAGGGTTGTGGTTTGACCCCATGATGTGGGGAAGAGGGTCCCCGGAGCCTGTGATGGTGTTGAGGACCAAGGAGATCAAGAACGGGCGTCTTGCCATGCTAGCATTTGTTGGCTTCTGCTTCCAAGCCATATACACAGGGGAAGGACCCCTGGAAAACTTGGCAGCCCATATTGCAGATCCTGGTCATTGCAACATTTTTTCGGTAACGCTTCCTAGATTCCCTAAAATTAATGAATTACATATTCATGTGGCAGAAGATGGATTAAACATTAGTTTCTGAACTTACAATCCCAAAATGGAGAATTAATGTGTTATTACACATAAATTCGTTTGCAGGCTTTCACAGGACGTTGATGTCAGAGTACCCTTCAAAGAAGAATTCCACATTGCTATAGAGCCAACAGTATTGTCATTCATCATGAGCAAGAACAATTGTATATAACAAGATTACAAGAATCCCAGAAGAGCTCTAGAGTTCCAATATTTAACTCCTATGACTACAGTTTTCATAAATTTCCATTTTGGTTATAATCCAAGGTAATTAAACATGTTGATGATAAGCATTCCATGTCTAATTATTGATTGACTCAGACGTTCAAAGGGAATTAAAAAGGAAGAAAAATAACCTAATTTCATTCCCAAAAGAATAGTTTGATCACCAATCTGAAACTGGAAGATTGTACACTTAAAACTTTTTCTTATTCTCAATGAAACCTCGATGTAAGGATTCAAATGTGACCTGGGTCCAGGGATGAATCCATAAAAAATTTATAATAATAAAAGTCCTTAAAATAGTGGGTGACAAGGTCAACGAAGTTGTGGAGCACTAGCCTCCTCTCTTTCTCTATCAAATTCTATTTTTAGAAATATTTCTGGTAAAGCGTGTAGACCTGCCAGTTCCTTCTCCAATTGTTTCCAATGCGAACAATGACACATCCTAAGCAAAAGGAAAGGCAGCCCAAGCAAAAATTCAATCCAACCTCTCCGAACAGTACGGCTCCCGAGCTGTCCCATTTCCCGCTCAGAAATGATCACGGCGGCTGTTCCTGTTCGCCTCCTCATTATTATTGTTCTTTCTCTTTTCACCCTTACCTTCTCCATAACCGAAAATGAGGCTCTCCTCAAACTCAAAGATTCTTTTTTATCAACTGGTGTCTTGGATTCTTGGGTTCCACACACCAATGCTTGTAAGGATAAGTGGGCTGGTGTCGTTTGTTCCAAAGGAGCGGTTTCAGGAATTAATCTTCGAGATATGGCTATCGGGGGAGTTATCGACGTTGATGCCTTAAACGAGATTTCTGGCCTTAGAACCATTGGTTTCCAGAACAATTCTTTCTCAGGTCGCATCCCGGATTTCAATAAGCTTGGTGCGTTGAAGGCTCTTTTCTTGTCAAAAAATCAGTTTTCGGGTGATATTTCAAGTGAATTTTTTTCCCGCATGACATCTATGAAAAAACTTTGGCTTGATAATAACAAATTTACGGGAAAAATACCCGATTCCGTAACGAAACTACCCAATCTCATAGAACTCCATCTTGAAGGCAACCAATTCTCAGGTCCAATTCCAGCACTGAAACAAACCACAGCCATTACATCGTTGGACCTCTCATACAACAAACTGGAAGGAGAAATCCCGGAAAGCTTTTCAAGATTCCCCGCTGATTCATTTCGAGCAAATGATAAACTTTGCGGAAAACCACTAAATAATAATTGCACTACAAAAGTAAACCATTCATCGACGCCTGAAGGGCCTGGACCGCTACCCAGCGAACAAGCAAATTCATCTGGTGAGGTCGGAACCGATGAGAAGAGCCACAAGTTGGTGGTGGCAGCTGTAATGCTTGCGTTTCTGATATTTTTCATGGTGATGTTTGTACTCTATGCAAGGTATAAGGAACGCGATGATTTTCGAGTGTTGGAAAAGGAAGACCTTAAAGATGAGATGGAACCTCGCGTACCCGGTGGTGAAAGCACCATGGGAAAGCGTGGCTCGAAATCATCAAACCGTGGGGGAAAATCAATCGGTACTGATCTGGTGATGATAAATGATGAGAAAGGTCCGTTCGGGTCGTCGGATTTGATGAGGGCGGCGGCTGAGGTGCTAGGCAGTAGTGGTTTGGGATCTTCCTATAAGGCTGCAGTGGACAATGGATTGACTGTGGTGGTGAAGAGGATGGGAGAGATGAATAGAATCGGATCAAGAGATGATTTTCACGCTGAAATGGAAAGATTGGGGGCATTAAAACATCCTAATATATTGACGCCTTTGGCCTACCATTACCGCCGTGAAGATAAGCTCATTATCTCTGAATACATTCCTAAAGGCAGCTTATTATACCTCCTCCATGGTAATATATTTACCTTCTCATCACTTTCGATTTAATATTTCATTCATCTTAAACATTAATTAAGAAAAAAATTATTATTCAGGTGATCGCGGGATTGGTCACGCTGAGCTGAATTGGCCTACCCGTCTGAAGATAATCAAGGGAATTGCAAGTGGAATGGGTTTCATTCATTCAGAGTTTGCATCGTATGAACTGCCGCATGGAAATCTCAAGTCCAGCAATGTTCTTCTGAACGAAAATTATCAGCCATTACTAACGGACTATGCCTTTCATCCACTAATCAATCGACACATTGCAACACAAGCATTGTTTGCGTACAGAACCCCGGAGTATATTGAAAAGCAGCAAGTTTGTCCCAAGTCTGATGTTTATTGTGTGGGGATTATCATTCTTGAAATTCTGACAGGAAAGCTTCCAAGTCTATATCGGAACAATGGGAAAACTGATGTTTTGGACTGGGCCCGTTTGGCTATATCTCAGGGGAGAGAAATAGACTTAATCGATCCAGATATAGCAAGTACATCATCGCTTGGTATGATGGCGCGACTCCTCCAGATTGGGGCTGCTTGCACTGAAAGTAAACCTGAGCATCGACCAGACATAGGTGAAGCCATAAGGAAGATAGAAGAAGTACAAGTTTGAGGAATTGATGTCTCGAGGGTCGAGACTAGTGCGTTTCTAGGAAAGAAGAGAGCAAAAAATCTCAAAAATACTGGATGCTTTTAGGATGGTGATCTAGGCAAGTAAACTTCCGATTCGGAGAATGTAAATTAAAGGGTTGTATTGTAGACGGCTTTGATTTGTGTGAAGAATTATGGTGTCATTTCTTCAAATTAGGGAAAGAAAATGGTAAGGTGAAATATTGGTTTTGTAAAGCAAAAGAGTTTCTTTATATCAAAAACTATATTAAAAATTTTCTTTGTTAATATTTCAATTTAAAAAGATAGCTTCTTTTTGTACATTTGAATTACGTTTTTTTCAATTAAATATTTGAAATGTAAGTTATTGTATTCAATAAATTGCTTTGAGTAGGTAATAAGAATAAAATTGATTTTTTCTTAAAATGTAAACGACATATTCCCATCTAAGGTTTGACGAAATCCTAAGTTGGTATCTCTGGTTCTATTTATTCTAAATTTTCACCCTTAAAGTGACAGAAAATTGTTGGATATAATGGTTAAGGGATAAATTGGTCATTTTGCAAGAGGAGACGCATATTAGCAGATCTCCGATACACGTTATTCGACGTCGACCTTGACATTTTTCTCCTTTTTTCGGCGATTCTTCCACCCAAAATCACCATTGTCACCACCATTCGAACCCTTATACTCCTCTCTACAAAACCTTACCCTTCACAACCCCTCATCACTCACCAATCGCCAGCCACAACAATAGCTACATGCGACTGATTTTTTTTGGTCTTGACCGGTGAACGATGACTAAATGATTACTAGGGACATATGGGTTTTGTAGAGTTGGAGACGCTGGTTGCAGTGGTGCTATCCAATTGGATTTTCGTCGTTGACATTGACTGGAATCTAGCGAAGAACAGCAAAACCCTAAGCCTCATGGCACCAACGATCAGAGGGGCCAATGAGTTGGGAACCAAAGGGGTTTTGGACGACAGATGATGGGGAAGGTGATGGAGGTGACCAGGGGGTTCAACGCCATAAAAAACAGCCCAAATGAGGGTGCGTAGTCAACAAGGGTTTTGTTGAAGTAATTTGAAAATAAAATGATCAATTTTATAATTTTAGTAATTTAGGGGTTAAAACATAATTAATTTATTTGTTAAGGGTATTAAGGTAATAACATCATCTGTAACCTAAAAATTGTTAATAGTGGGTGCGTTTGGCTCCCTATTTTTATCCATATTCCCAATCCTATTCTCCAAATAATGTTTGGCACACTATTCCAGAAATATTACCTTATTTTTTTAAGTACTTTTAAACCCCATAAGGTTATTAATTTCACTAAATGCCCCCTGAATTTTTTTTAAAAAATTAACAAAAACCCCCCCATCAACCCAACTTGTCAGATTCCGGCAACCGCCGCCGGTGATAGCCGGAATCTGTACAACGGCCTAAATTCCGACCATAAATGGCCGGAATTACACCGATTTGGCCTTTTCCGGCCAGATCCGAGGAAAAGGCCAGATCTGGCCGTCAGCGACGGCCAAATCTTGGCCGTCGTTGACCGAAAACGATGGCCACATCTTTGGCCATCGCTGACGGCCAAAGATGGCCATCGTTTTGGCTTTTTCGGCCGTCGACGGCCATAACAGGCCGTAGATCTGGCCTTTTTCGGCCAGATCCGTGGTGGATCTGGCCGGAAAAGGCCATAATGATGCGTTACGGCACAGATCCGATCGGTCTGTGCCGTAACAAAATTTTTCGGTCAGATTCTGGCGGTGGTGGCTGGAATCTGACACTGCAGGTGGTGGGGGTGTTTTTGTCATTTTATATAATAGGGTCTTTAATTAAATTAGTAAACTTAAGGGCTTTTTCATAAATTTTTTAAATTTACCTCGTAATACTCCNTTGTTCCTGCATTTTCCTCTCAATATGTGAAAAACTCTCTTCTTGAAACCTTTCGATCCGATCAATTCTGCTTACTATTTCGTCTAAGGTATGAGAAGACATTTCTTCTACATTATGAGAAGATCTAAGTTCCATACTCGTTCTTCTTCTTTTCCGCACATAGACTCGTCCTTCATTTTCCCCTTCTAGAATAGGGACACCTTCCTGCACTGTTGCCTCTTCCTCCATTTCATCCTTTATCAGCAACCATTCTCCTAACACATTCTTTTTAATCAAACCCATTTTAGACAATGTGACATCCCCTAACAATTATTTGTAGAAAATGTTATCTTATTGGCTTCATCTGAAGGGGTGATCTCAAAACCCAACTTCTGACATATTAGCGTAACAACCATCCCTCAATAAATGTCACATTTTTCTGCTTTAATCTCTCCCAACTTTTTAATCAATAACTTAGCTGAATTTACTTGCTTCCCTGTTACTGCTGCTTCCATCAACAATAAATCCTTCATTGTCACATTTCCATTTGTCTCTTTCCTGCCATTAAATGTGAATATCAGAAATATATGAAAAACTCTCGTGGCAGGATTTCTTAACTTCGTAGATTTACACCTATGTGGATGATAAACCCCTATTCTAGAAACATCCATCCAAGCTTGTTTGGAATCACACGTTCTGGATACGCTATCCAAACTTTCAAAATCAATCCCTATCCAGTTTGCTAAGTCATGTGGCCTCATTACACAATTCTGATTCTTTAATCTAAAAAACATTGTATACGGCGGTAAATCATCAGTACTTGTCTCCACAACTTCCAAACTACTAAAAAACTCGTAAATCAAATGCTTATATTTGTCATATCTAATCCTCGCCAACTGCTCCTATTTCAAATTACGGATCCAACCATTAATCTCATCACTTAAACCCAAACTAGTTATAAATCCTAAATCCAAACTTCTTACAAGACAAATATCGCTTTTCGCCATCTCTTTGTATTGGTTTTTATGTTGTACGTCTCGAAATTGGACTCCAGATGACGATGAGCCTCCACCCAGAGTGGTTGTGTTTTTTGCTCTTTCCATTTTCTGCTTTCTTCTAAAACCCTGAAAAAAAACATATCCATAAGTAATTCATGTTATATGACAAAACATATATGACATTAAACCAATATTACAAACATAAAGCACATACATCATAACCATGTATCCCACTTTAACAGTATACTATCAAAATCAATCACATTGCAGACAATCGAAAGAGAAATTAATCAAAATGGTAGCATATTTTGTTGGATTGTAAATGTTTCACCGGCTGCATTCATGATAGAAATTTTAAAGACACTGATAAGCTAACCATATATAAAGTCTCAGAATACTACTAGACTTTCCAAGACATCAGCAAGATGTAAAAATAGTTCTCACTTCACCAAAGAGTAATGTTATGCTTACTCACGATCTTACTAACCATCTTACTATCCTTTGTTAAAATTACATATGGTACCTGTACTATATTTTATATTTACACTGGTTAGTAAAATGATTAGTAAGATCGTGAATAAACATAATATTATTGCTTCACCAAATACTCTTTACAGTTGATGAAACTGTACACAGCCCGACATATTCTAGTCATGAAGTGCATTTTTCAAATTCACAGTTGATGATGTAGTTGCATATAATAATGACAGAACAAAGCCTATAGAAAAGACCTTCCAACACAGCAAATCTAAATGCTGGATAAAAGCAACCTATGTGTCCCAATTTGAAACATTATTATCATAAATGTTAGCAACTTTTTTACTTTTCGATAAGACATAAATGCTAGTGCATTTAAAATCCCAATTAAAGTGCTTCTTACTATGACTAGTTTTATGTTTGCACTATGGTTACAACCAGCTTTCTTATTTGTTTTTATATTCCAAAAGTGGATTTTGAAAATTGGAAATAAATAATTAACTTTATATGATCAAGAAGAGTGATGACAGTTCTTGATCAAGATGAAGCCTTTTCAAGTCATTGATAAACTCCACAATGGAATTCTTCTTATCCAGATTAACTTCACAAATTTGGATTCACTCTTCCGCTCGTGTCTTCTAATTTCATAGCAATAAATTACTACAGTTTTAAAGAATATAGTCATTTTTTGTTGATGAACCTTTCCTGCCAGTAAAAACTAAGTCTCCTTAATGACAATATCCATACAAGTTTAGAACCAGCTCAATTTGGTTTAGAACAATGTCAGGTCATTAAACTTCCTAGAATTTGTGTTGATAACTGAGCTCAATATGTCAAGCAAAATGTAGATTTTAAAACAATTGACAAGAAAAGTGAGTCTGGTCAAGTACTGCTGAAACCAAATCTGCCTGGATATACACATACACAAGCCTTAATATTGAGTCTGGTCAGGTACTGCTGAAACTGGTAAATATGAAAATAAAAGTGATAAAAAGTATTTCCCCTACGCTATTACACATTTGACATTTGTAGCATAAGATAAAACAACAAAGTATTTCATCAAAACCAAATACCAACATATCTGCCCAAAACCAACAATGGCAGAAGCAAACACTAATTCAAGAAAATGCATCATTTTGCATTCAAATGTACAATGAGTTAACATTGAAACTTCATGCAAGTATAAGCCTTTTTTGGAACACCTTCTGCCAACCAAAAACAAGTCCCCTGTTTTACCCTATTTCCTTGGATTTAGTTGGTTTTTTCTACAGTGAATGGTTCTATAGGAGTATGACAGACATAAACTAAAACTGGAGAGCCTAACAACATACCTGGTCATTTTACTTTAAAAAAACAAATAAAACACACCATGAACCGAAGAAAAAAGAAGACATAAGAAGGCAACCAAAACTTTTACTTTAAAAAAGAAACCACTATGAAGTTGAATTATTGCAATGGTGGAGCCAAGACTTTAACACCAAAGTTGCAAACAGTTACTTGGACTCTTTGCTTTATGAGTACACTGCCCATTTTACTTTTTCTTTACCACTAGGAAGAAAATTGATGTTTGGATCGAATGAGTTTGGTCTCAAGATAAAGGGACATTATATAAGGCAGGAACTGCACAACCCCTATCATCTAACCTTGTCCACTAGACACACTAATTTTTGCCTAGCAATGCAATGGTTGACTACAAATTTTAGACATAATCAACAGAGAACAACACAACCAATAAAAATATTATATTTTTCCAAGCCGAAAACACCCAAAACATAACACTTCTATTTGTCAATTACACAAACCAGTCCCATCAAATTGATTGGATTTCTCTTTATCAACTCAACTTCATTCAACACAAATGTAAATCCAACACATTCATCCAACATTAAAAAAAAAAAAAAAAAAAATTTGAAAAGCGAAAGTGTCTAATTACCGCGGCTGATTTGTTTTTTGAGATAAAGAAGACGATGAACCAGAGCACAGATGAGATGAAGAAGACGATGAACTAGAGCGCAGATGGAAGAAGAAGAAGAAGAAGATCGCTGTCAATTTTTTTTTTTAAACACTTTCCCCAAAAGTTTTTAACCTAAACTTTTTTTAATTCAAATTTTTGTTTTTAATTAGAGTAGGGACGCCCGTCCAAAAATAAAGGACGGCCATCCAAAAATAAAGGACGGCCATCCATACTTAATGGACGGGCATCCATTCCTTATGGACAGACGTCTAAATATTTTTTTAAATATTTTTAAACCAAATTATGGACGGGCGTCCATTATATATGGACACCCGTCCATACATTACGGACGCCCATCCACAATTTGTGGACGGGCGTCCAAGATTTTTTTAAAATTTTTATATTTTAAAAAAAGGACGGGTGTCCCTTATTTGTAAGTACCCGTCCAATATATATGGACGGCCGTTCATAACCTATGAATGGCCGTCCCTAATTTTTTTAATATTTTTTATTTCATTTACCAGAGGACGCCCGTTAGTAGTAAATGGACTCCCGTCCATGTTAGTGAATGACCATCCATATGTTATAGATGACTGTTCATTAGAAAAAATTTAATAACGTAAAATATGTTAATTGGTCTGACTCAACATACATATAAACCAGTATAAAATTTTGGTGTAAAAACACCGATGTCTGTGGCATTGTTGATACGCTTGTTTACTCTTTTAACTTCAATAATAATTGCCTAAATTACAATACTCTTCCAAGCAACAGTAACAAAAAAAATAGAAAATTAGTAAACTTGGTGGCAGATGTACCGATACGTGGAATAATGAGAAAGAGCTACGTGTAACCCAATAAACTGTTTAGATTTCCTTGGCCAGCCTCCATCCAAAATTGTCTTCCTCACAGCAAACTAGTGCAAAAATATGTTCAGAACGGCGGCGAAGCGCCTCCTCTATGGTGCGACATCTGGTAATATTAGCACCGCCCGTATCGGATCACTGCCCAATCTTCAGAAGATCATTAGCTCTTACCCATTCTCAACTTCGTCACCTGATCCTCATTCACTCCCTAATCAACCTCCAAACGTTGAAATCCCTAATGTTTCAAATTCTGCATCTGCATCTGCATCTTCGTCTTCGTCTTCATCTACAGCTGAGGAAGCTCGACGCTATAAGAGACAGAGACCGGGCGTCGACTACCAAGACGAGCAAGCGCGAGTACTTGAGGCCTCACTGCGACACGTGGTCTGTGTTTCTAATGTTTCAAATTTAATTTTCTAAATAGTAATTCGGGATATTGTTTTTATTTTTCTGATTGTGTATAACGTACAGGTAAGGTTGGGTTGGACGGAAGCGTCTATGATCGCTGGTGCAAGAGAAGTCGGCGTGTCTCCTGCCATTGTTGGATCTTTCCCCAGAAAAGAAGCCGCACTCGTTGAGGTTTGTTTCATCTATTCCGCTAACATCTATTAATATTTTACAAAATTAGTTATGTAATTACGATAGTGATTGGCAATAATTTGATGCTTCGTTGGTTATCATCGCTTTACTGGGCATATAAATGTGGAAAGGGGATGGCGCTTTGGTGTGGAATTATAATTCTTAAGGGTTGGCCTTAATTGGAGTTTAATGGTTTAATATCTGTGGGCTACTTTTGAGCATGTTCTTAGCTGTGTCATTGACTCGATATGAAACTCTAGATTCTAATGATTTTAGGATTTTTTGATCTTGAAGGCACCTCGTTTCATTGATCAGTCTATTTGTCAATTGATATGTTCTAATATTCAGTGAGCATTTACCTATTATTAGTTCGATGCAAAACAAGCTCTTCAGGGTGTGCCTTGATTGTGATTTTATTTTCCTTCATTTTTATCTTTTAATATTGGAAATTGACTTTTATACCTCGTGTACTTGGGTTACATACCCTTTTTGTGTTTTAATTTTCTTTTATCTAAGAAGAAAAGTAAAATCTCTTTAGGATTTGGATATGCTTCATATGCAATTATTTCTCTGAAACATGCTTAGTTGCGCTGCCTGGTTTCAGCTCATAAGGCCATTTAAATTAAAAAAAAAATAATTTTATTTGTCTCGATCTGTTCAGTTTTTCATGGATGATTGCTTACAAAGGCTTATTGATAGAATTGATTCGGGGGAGGATTTACAGAACTTGATACCAAGTGAGCGCATCTCCAAGCTCATCAAAATTCGTCTAGAAATGCAAGCACCCTACATATCAAAGTGGCCACAAGCTCTTAGCATCCAAGTACCAATTATTGTGCCCTTTCTTATTGTAAAAGTGCTAACTTTCAGGTGGAATTTTAACTCATAAATCTGCTGTTCATTTCCCTTCTCCAGGCACAACCATTGAATGTTCCCACAAGTTTTAAGCAGCGAGCAATGCTGGTTGATGAGATTTGGCATGCTGCTGGTGATGAGGCCTCTGACATAGATTGGTATGTGAAGCGCACTGTTCTTGGAGGAATATACTCGACAACTGAGATTTACATGCTGACTGATAGTTCCCCAGGTTTGTTCTGTTTTTATTTTTTTGCTGTATATGTGCTTGAAACTTTGATGAGATCTCATCTTTGCTTGACTTTTGTTCCTGAGACGGACTTGAATATTTTACATGAATTGTCTTTGCTAGTTTTTTGTTCTTAACACTAAACATAGATGGTCATAATTATTTATTTTCAGTTAATGAACATCCAAAGGATGATTTTGACATAACTATAGTATCCATTTTCTCAAGTTTTAGTTGGTAGTGTAGTTTAAGTCCTTTTTAATTGATTGTATCATGCGATATAAAATAATTGACTTTAAAGCATTATGAAATAGAATGCTTGCCAACGAGAAGGAACTTCAATGGCCCATGGAAGAGGGGCTCCATCAACTGTAGCATTTATACATTAAAAGCTATTGCCTAATTAAAACCCTGATAGTTACTCATCTTGTAATTTGTCATTTTCTGCCAGATTTTCGTGACACATGGACATTTTTGGATGGTAGAGTGAAAGATGCGTTTGATCTAAAGAAGACCATTCAAGAGGTAATGTCTCCAGTTTTCCTTTCTGTTCCGGGCTCCATATATTCCTCCATCATGGACTTTTCAGTAGATATTGATTAGTAAGCTTCAATAATTGGGTGAAATATTTTGCAGGCAAAATATTTGGCAGAAGCTGTTGGTGCTGGAATGGGGGGTTCTCTCCAAGGATTTGTGAACAAAATTTTTCAGAGATGAAAATTGATTGTTTATATGATTTAAATTATTTCACAGGCATCAGACTCTGCTCACTTGTGGTGAAACTATTATGCCTTTGCAACATAATTGCTTCTGATGGAGAGTTCAAACTGGGAGATGCTTTCTTTGTGTTGGTAGTATTTTGATTGTCTCCAAATTGCCTCGAGTATTTCCTTTGTCCATATTCAATCATTTGCCACTTAAAGTTCGTGCTGCTGCCTAGATGAATTTATTACTTTCTGGCCGATCTGTAGTCCTTCGAATAACGTTTGTATTCTTTATAGATCATATAACTAGTTAAATTATAATAATTGAGCTTCAAGGAAAGTAAAAGTTCGATTCATATTCACATGATTGTCATATGTTATTTATTTATGTATCTCGCTAAAACTGAATCTGCAATGCTTTTGATTTATAATAGCACGATTGCAGCCAAGTTTATATTTGAGATCCGTGGAAAAATGCATCTTTCTGTTCTGCTACAATTTCAGTTGAGGGAAAAACATTATGGGTGTCTCAAATTTAACCAGTTTACCACGTATATTTTGGTGTTAAGGGTCTGCAGTCAAAGTTTATTATGTGCAAATTTCATCGGCATTGCGGCATATATGTAACATAAGATTATATTGATTATGCCAATTTTCAATCTATTGAAAACTCTGGATATGCCTATTGAAGTTACTGAGGGGAAGGGAAGGAAACGGTTGAAGAGTTGGGTGTAAAAGGAAATGTATATGAGGTTAATGTAATCTGTCCAGTAACCCCTTTTCCAGAGAAGTATACTGGAGACATTCTTCAGGTAAAGACGAAGGGAATGCCAAAGCCTTTTAAATATGCTCGCCCATCCCTCTTAAGGCAACCCAAACTAAGTAATTCTAAGATTCCTATCAAAGTTAAACCTGCACATGGTTCTTGTGTGTTTTCTCCTTTTTATTAAACATTTACATCCCCTCCATTTTCTACCGTTCTTCCTTCTCAATCAACTTCACCAAGTCTCCAGAGCATGATCATGGATTTTTTTGACCGGCCCATTGTTTGTGACAACGGTTCAGGCTCGGTGAAGGTAAANTATGCCTATTGAAGTTACTGAGAGGAAGGGAAGGAAACGGTTGAAGAGTTGGGAGTAAAAGGGAATGTATATGAGGTTAATGTAATCTGTCAAGTAACCCCTTTTCCAGAGAAGTATACTGGAGACATTCTTCAGGTAAAGACGAAGGGAATGTCAAAGCCTTTTAAATATGCTCGCCCATCTCTCTTAAGGCAACCCAAACTAAGTAATTCTAAGATTCCTATCAAAGTTAAACCTGCACATGGTTCTTGTGTGTTTTCTCCTTTTTATTAAACATTTACATCCCCTCCATTTTCTACCGTTCTTCCTTCTCAATCAACTTCACCAAATTTCCAGAGCATGATCATGGATTTTTTTGACCGGCCCATTGTTTGTGACAACGGTTCAGGCTCGGTGAAGGTAAATTCATCATCTTTTCAATTTAAATTTGACGTGATCACACAATAACAAACACCTTTCTTATTAATGCAGACTGGGTTTGCTGGTGATGATGCTCCATCTGTAGTTTTCCCCAGCCTTATCGGCCAACCACGGAACAAACATGCTATGGTTGGCATTGGACAGAAAGATATGTACTTAGGAGATGAAGCACAAGCCAGGCGTGGAGTTCTCAAATTAAGTTATCCTATTAATCGTGGAATAGTAAGAGATTGGGAAGCAATGGAGAGACTCTGGGAACATACATTTGATAAGGAGCTCAGAGTCACCATAGAGGAACACCCTGTCCTCTTAACAGAGCCACCATTAAATCCCAAAATTAACAGAGAAAAGATGGTCGAAATCATGTTTGAAGATGTCGAAATCATGTTTGAATATTTTGAAATCCCTGCTACTTATGTGGCTATTCAAGCTGTACTATCCCTCTATGCTAGCGGTCGAACAACAGGTACAACTCACACCATATTCAATGAAAAATAATCATAACATTCTGCATCTTAATCATAAATAAAGTTGCATTAATTCTTCATATAATATATGTATGCAGGAGTTGTGATGGATTCTGGGGAAGGTGTAACACATGTAGTTCCCATCTATGAGGGCTATGCATTGTCACACGCCATCCAAAGGCTTGAACTAGCAGGCAAGGACCTCACAGAATACCTCAGCAAGATCCTAACCAAAGAGGGGTACAGTTTCACCACAGGAGCAGAGAGAGAAATTGTTAGGGACATAAAAGAGCGGCTTTCATACGTGGCATTAGATTTCGAGAAGGAACTTGCCTTGTCAAGGGAGCCCTCAAGGCTAGACAAACAATATGAATTACCAGATGGACAAGTCATAAGTGTTGGAGCGGCACAGTTCAAATGCCCGGAAGTTCTATTCGATCCAAGCAGAACTGGAATAGAGTCGGGCGGCGTACATGAGATAGTTGTGAGAGCAATCAGGCAGAGTGATATGGACGTTAGAAGGGAAATGTTTGGGAATTTGGTGCTCAGTGGGGGCACCAGTTTGTTACCCGGCCTAGCTGATAGGCTGGCCAAAGAGCTCTGCATTCTTGCACCTCCTGGTGTGAGGGTAAGAGTGATTGCACCACCAGAAAGGAAGCATAGTGTTTGGATTGGTGGCTCCATTTTGGCTTCCCTCAGCACATTTCAGCAGGTATTTGATTCTATATATAAAATGACAATATATTGATTCAACACAGCAATTTCAATGACTTGAGGTGGGTGTATCTGATGATTATTATGGGTTTAATTTATTTGCAGATGTGGATTACTAAGAATGAATACATGGAGTCCGGTTCTTCTATTGTGCACATGAAATGCTTCTGAGCTAGAGCGTTGTTAATTTTTTTTAGTTACTCCTTTCTTCACCATGATATTTGTATATTTTTATCCTACATAATAAAAGACCAAATATTTTTAAGAGTAAAGAAAATGGAAATGAATATATCGTGCACCATCAAATTGGTCTTTTATTGTAACCAGAAATTCGTGCATTTTTACTAATCTTCCACAAACAGAAAATACATTATCCATCATCTCAATCCCTTATTAGGCTGTATGTGGCATATGCGAATTTAATTGATAGGAATAGAAAAAGTAGAATTCGCTTTTAAAGGCTGTTAGGGATTAGGATAGCTGCTAGTCCACTGTGCTTATTCTTCAGGATGACACAAAGACTCAAAGCCCTTCCAGTTTAGCCTTTTAAATATGCTCGTCCATCCCTCTTTATCCAAGTTAAACCTGCATATCGTTACCGTGTGTTTTCTCCTTTCTATTAAACATCCCTCCTCTCCTCTCCATTTTCCGCATTCTACTGTTCTTCCTTCTCAATCAACTTCACCAAGTTTCCAGGGCATGGTCTAAAGTTAAACCTGCATGTGAAAATAATTATAAAATTCTGCATCTTCTTTTTGTCCCTATGGTTTCCGTTTATTCTGTTCAGGACAATGGTTTCAAAATTCAAATACCACTAGTTTAGTCATTTGACTAAATAAAGATCATTAAAATTATATGAAAATACAGAAATGCCCCTTTTAAGAAAACAAAAAATTACTTATGCAATCAACCCTAAATTAAATAAACACAGAACACACCACAAATTCAAATTAAATAAACAACATTATACACTAAAAATTCATCATATTTATATCATTCTGGTTTTCTAATATGTAATATGTTTATTTGTTTCAATTTGTAATGTATAATGTATTTTTGTTTTTAGTGATATATATATATATATAACACTTTAAAAAAGGGGTATTTTTGTCCTTTCAATATAAATTTAATAGTCAGCAACATTTTATTTAGTCAAAGGAGTAAAACAGTAGTGTTTGAAACAATTGTTCTGAAATTATTATACTAAAAAAATATTTAAAAATGAAAAAGAAAAAGAATTGTTAACGATCGTTTTCCAAAACTGTGGGCTCCATCTTTGGTTTACCAACTCAACCTCTTAAGTCTTAACACGAGATGGAGAAAATGATGAATGGGTGTTGTTGAAGACAAATTTAGACAATCCTTAGTTGTTGAAGGAGAAGAAAGTGAAAGTAAGGATGGTTACCTCGTCAGAGATTGCAGCAAAGCTGAACCTAAAACCACACCCAGAAGGTGGGTTTTATGCAGAAACGTTTAGAGATTCTTCTATTGTTCTCTCCAAATCTCAACTGCCTCCTCAATGTAAGTCTTTACTCAATTTAAATCTTACCTTTCTTCTTTCACTTTTGCTTTCTTTTGGCATGGTTGATAATATGGCTTTCATTGTTTCCGGATCTTATATGCTACAAATCCAGCAAATATCTTCTTTACCAATCTGGGTATAGATTTTTTCTTGTTTTAGAATATTTGATGTTTAATTTCTAGGGTTTTACTACTTTATCCCCTAACTTTACTGAGGATTGACTGCCCTTGGGTCATGGTTCAAGGTATTCTGATCCTATGACTGCCATCTCCCCACTCGCATTAGTGGAAAAGGCAGCAATTTCTTATTGTATATTCTCTGCGTTTATCGTTGGAAGTTGACCTATTTTATGTGCTTTTCGTCCTGGGTGCTCAAGAAATCATTTTGAAAGTAAGACTGCATGAAATATGTGTTTTTTAATTGGCGGTTTGATGGGATTCACTGATTTATACATGTACTGATTTGGTATTGATTTTTGGATTCTTATGGACATAGTTTCTCAGAATAGATTCTGAAGTCAAAAGCTTGGCTTGGATTCCTAATCATTTATGATTTCTCAGAAGTTAACAATGTAGTTGATGGGCGCATTTTAGATGGGTCTGGCTAGATTTTTAATTTTGAGGAATTTATATTTGCTTTGTTTATGTTGAAATTAAGTTGTACAGTTTCATAGAGCTAATAATTTGATTTTATATCTTCAAATTTGCTGATATTTCTTCAAAAATATGGTTTAAATTAAAGTAATGTGATAGAATCTTCATACTACTTCGGTAATTTTATTTATAAAACATTCATGAAAATTGAAATGCTGTTCTTGAATGTTATTTCCAATATATTTTGTTTGATTTTGAATTTCGTGGGAGTGTAGATACATTTGATTTGGTAATAGGAATCTATTCAGGAAATAAACTTAATTTAACTCGAGACTGTTAAAGCCTGTAGTCTACTCTTTTCTAGTCGTGGAATTCAATAAAGTTATATATCTTAAGACTTAATGTTCTCTGCAGACAAGGTTGATCGCCCTGTCAGCACATGTATTTATTTCCTACTACCATCAGGCAGCGTGTCACACCTTCACCGAATACCATGTGCAGAAACCTGGCATTTTTATGCTGGAGAACCTCTTACGGTACGACTGATACTGGCTTTACTTTAAAAGCTAAAAATAGTGTGCATTCATTGGCCTTTCTAACTTCTAAGCCTGGTTTCCATTACAAAATAAGTTTTTACTTTGATAGCTGGTAATAGTTTGCTTTCATTGAACTTGTCAAGCCTGGTTTCCACCGCAAAATAAATTTTATTTGACAGTTATTTATAATTTAGTGCCTCAGTCCCAAATAGCCCAGCTGTAGGAGCCCTAGGAAAAATGATCCTTTGTTATGAACTAGATTTGTTCATGGGTACTGCATCGCAGGTTAGTTTTGTATCAACCTTTAGCACTGTCAACTGTATTTGGCCTTGCGTTAATTGAATTTGTGCTTGCCAAAGCTACCTTTGGATTCCACAGAACTGTTTTTCTATAATTGAAAGCATTTATTTTGTTAGTCCTCATCAAGTGATTTCTGCTTTGGCTATCACAATCTCCTCCCTGGGATTTCTGATTGGTCATACAAAAGAAAAAACACTTAACATAAACAGTGAAGCATATGATTGATGTTGATTAGAGTAGCAGTTTCTTTGATGTGTTCGTTCTGAAATTTCATTGTAGGTAAGAACTCATTGGAGCTTTCCCCTTTAAACAATAAAAGATATGGATAAAAATCTGTTTCGCATGATGTATTTCTTATCTAAAGTCAATGATTAATTTTCCTTGAAATGTAATTCTTAAGCTGTGCAAACACATTGCTGAGGACAAATGACCTTTGTAGAGAAGAGATTCTCTGATTTGCAAACTTTTTGCCTCTTGCCAATATTTCTGTTTTGTTTGACGTTGTCTATCTTTCCAACATTATATATTTTTCCTCAGATATTTGAACTAGATGAGAAAGATGGACAAATTAAATTAACAAGTCTAGGAAATAATCTTGTTGGAAGCAATCAGCAACCTCAGTACACAGTGCCTCCAAATGTATGGTTTGGTTCTTTTCCAACCAAGGATGTTCAGATATCCTCAGATGGGTTGGTGAGCAAAGTTGAACCTAGGGATGCCGACAGCCACTACTCCCTTGTTGGCTGCACTTGTGCACCTGCCTTTCAGTTTGAGGACTTTGAGTTGGCAAAGCGCTCTGATATTATATCTCGTTTTCCCAATCATGCAGAGCTCATCTCTCTACTTACCTTTTCTGAGTAAAGAGAAGACTGTTTCTGTACCGATCTGGGAATTTCTGGCTTGTAATGCACCAATGCTTGTGGAAATCAGCTTCTGAGTAAACTACGTACCTCCAAAGTTTTACTTGTATCTCTGGAAATCAGCTAGTCTACTATATGCGTGAAATTTGTAATATTTTTCACTTCAAATTATAAAACAATCGGAAGACTTTGAGTCTTTGTATTCAGCAATCAGCATTTCCATTTGGCAAATGAAACCTACAGCAACTTTAAGAATCTCATAATTTAATAAGCATCTAAAGGTCTCCTCCATAAAGGGATGGTTATGACTATAATGAGTGCAGAATGCTGAAAGCCGCCAGAAAAGAAGGAACTTCGAATAGTTCTACACTTCTACTTTTGTGCTAGAACAAAGCTTAGTATTTTATGTTCTGAAAAATACTCAAACTGTTGGTCAACAAACAAATTACTGCAGTTCAATAAGCAACATGAATTTACGTGTTAAGTCACAAGACAGAGGGTACTGGATGCCATGACTGCTTGAAGGGCCAAAATCCTTAGCCATTCACTTCTGTACTTAGATTGCACCCATCTTGTTCAATTATATTTTCATTTTGTAAAACTCAGTAGTAGACGGATTTTTTATGCTCAACAAGTATGCAAATACATCCAGAGCTGAGATACTAAGGTTTTAAGCATTGGAAAATAGCATCTAAAAAGGCTTTTAACAGTTATTAAAAGAACTTTTGAGTGTAATTTTAAATTGACATAACCACATTACAAATGAATAGAAAGAAACTGTGCCATTACAAAATGCGGCACACCAAAGCAACAACCCAAAGCAATTTCAACAGTTTGTTCAACTGAGAACCAAAAACCGGAAGAGGGAGTAAAAAGAGAATAACCGGGGAGATCAAACATAAATTTTGATACAACTAGAAAAAATCAAAAACCTAACTAAAACTAAAGAACCCAGTTTTGTGTACTGCACATATCAATTTACCCCACATGCTACGGAGGTCTAAGGAAAATGTCATCATGGCTCTAACAGTCCGGAAACCCAACATTCTCCCCAACTTTAGCAAATTAGGCCTTCAGAATTGTTACTATTTTTTTTTCTTCTTTTTACTAACCTCCAGCAAGACAGGAAGCAATAATAAGTTTGACTTTTCCCACCCTCTTCCATTTTCTTTTGGGTCTCCGCTGCAATAATATTTGCAAACAAGGTGTGAACTTGTAACAAAAACAACTGGACCTGTTAATCAAAATCAAGGAACTCCATTCTTTTTCTCATGGAGCCCTTTAAAACAGTAGCATCCTTTTCTGCTTTCTGAGCCTGAAGAGAGGAGAAAATGGATATCAGTAGCTCACAACACGCAAAACAAAATACATATGCATTCAATTGATCATATTAATGCAGTGAGCAGCTTTCATTATTTAGGACAAGCCTAAAGAAAAACAGGACAACAGTAGAAAAAAAAATCCAATATGGGCATAATAACAGAAATATTTTTCATATTTTTCATGAGGTTTCTAAGAATATCAATCTGATAACTAGAGGAACTTTGGGACATGAAATAGTCACAAGGTTTTTACGAACAGTGCTTGGATATCCATTTCATAATATCACAATAATAAAACTTTTACAAAAAGAAGGGCAGTTCTCAAATATATCTCAAGCAGTAGGTAGATTCATTTATCAATTTTAGTGCTGCTCCAAGGTAACCAAACTAATTTTGTTCCAGGCACCATTACTGGATTTGCTTTTCTGGAAAAATCACCTACACATATTTAAAGAGACCTATGTTTAACCTGAACCTAACATATTACTCATGTCATTAGGAAGTTTCTCACAACTAACCCACCTTGAGGTGGGATGCTAGGATGGCAGCCTACCTCCATCTAAACCACAAAGGCAATCATAAATTAAATTCACTTCACATGCTTCAACTATGCGCCCACAGTATAAACATTCCAACATACAAAAGTGCAGTATAAGCATAGATCAACACCAGAGTCAAGGTGCTTACTCTTTTTATTTCTGCTGTTGATACACGAGTCATATGCGGGGGAAGCTCCTCCTTTTCTAAATCCTACATGATGAGTAGCGGAAACTAAGAAACATAATATTCTAGAGAAGAAATTGAAAATAATTGAGCCTCACAGAACTATAGACAAAACATATACCAGCTCTCCAATTAAAACAACATTCTCCCCACGGATTACATATAGACCTAAGGGAATGTCACAGTAAAGATCTCCAACAATAATTCGCTCACAAGCACCTTCAAGAACAACATTAGCTGTACATGGGAAAAGGAATTTCCGTCAGCAACAAAAGTTCAAAAGGACTTAGGCCATGCAAAATTTGCAACCGTTGTGAAATGGATATACTACCAAATTGATCAAAGGAACGGAGTAGGCCCAAGAGCTTTCGACCATCACGCAGCAAGACAAGAATTTTTTCTGCAAGGCATATAAAAGGGTAAGGAGCAGACAATATGCAATGAGTTGACTGTCCTACAGTCACTTCACATATATGTCAACATAATTCTTAATTATATATAACTTAGCGAGAGTGTGAGACTAATTCTGTTGATTACGATAAAGACATTACATGTAGAAGTTTGTATCAATATGAGAACAAAGAAAACTCATAAAAGAAAGTTCAGAAGATATAAAGAAATTTGCATGCACTAGAAAAAATAAATGCTCATACAACAAACTTCACTTCCACCTCTGAGAGGATAACAATGTGACAAACAAAGACCATCAAACATTTACAAGTATCCAGGGAAACAACAAATGCATCCAAAACCATGCCTGTTTCCTAATACTCTCACTTTTTTTAATGACTTCTGAGAATGATATACTGTATCAGACTTCAGTTTGACAATTGAAGCATTTCCCTAGAGCAGAAAGGTCAAATTGCAATCGGATGCTCTACAGGAAGCATTTTCTTATTAAAAAAAAAAACCCTCCAAATTCACTTAGTAAACTCTAATACTAAAACAGATTCCACCGAAATACATCACCTTTATACAGCAGTCCTCTAGGTTTTCCACAAGGCAGGTCCGTGGGAAATCGAACACCAGACCTTTGTGGAAGCAAACTACCGGCGCAAACAATAAGCTAACCTTCACGCTTAAATCCCCATAATATTATGATGTTGGCACTCCAAGAAAAACAAAATTTAAATCAGACCCAAGTGGCGGAAAAAGGCAATATAAATCCTATTAATTCTTTCCATTCTACTCCACATCGACCTTAGTTAGTAGCAACATCAGCTTTGATTAGTTCAAGAACAAATTACACCAATTTCCTTCTAGTTGTACTTGCTTCTAATTTAACAAGGCAGTAAAAACAACTGAAACTTGACCAATTTTTTTCTTATTCAAGAAAAGAAAAGTAAATCAAACAGTAAAGTAAACAGAATAATAAATCCAGAAACTCAAAAAGAATCTAATGCGCAACCAAAATTCACACATAAACGAAATCAGTACTGAAAATCAAATAACCGGATTGCAATAAATTGACATCCCATTTCAATCTGAAAAAATAGTGCACGCTGCCTTCAGTTTGAGGACTTTGAGTGGCAAAGGCTCCGATTTATTTCTCGTTTTCCCAATCATGCAAGCTCATCTCTCTACTCACTTTTCTGAGTAAAGAGAAGACTGTTTCTGTACCGATCTGGGAATTTCCGGCTTGTAATGCACCAATGCTTGTGGAAATCAGCTTCTGAGTAACTAAGTACCTCCAAAGTTTTACTTGTATCTCTGGAATCAGCTAGTCTACATATGCGTGAAATTTGTAATATTTTTCACTTCAAATTATAAACAATCGGAAGACTTTGAGTCTTTGTATTCAGCATTCCATTGGCAAATGAAACCTACAGCAACTTTAAGAATCTCATAATTTAATAAGCATCTAAAGGTCTCCTCCATAAAAGGATGGTTATGACTATAATGAGTGCAGAATGCTGAAAGCCGCGAAAAGAAGGAACTTCGAATAGTTCTACACTTCTACTTTTGTGCTAGAACAAAGCTAGTATTTTATGTTCTGAAAAATACTCAAACTGTTGGTCACAAACAAATTACGCAGTTCAATAAGCAACATGAATTTACGTGTTAAGTCACAGACAGAGGGTATGGATGCCATGCTGCTTGAAGGGCCAAAATCCTTGCCATCACTTCTGTACTTGATTAGATTGCACCCATCTTGTTCAATTATATTTTCATTTTGTAAAACTCAGTAGTAGACGGATTTTTTATGCTCAACAAGTAGCAAATACATCCAGAGCTGAGATACTAGGTTTAAGCATTGGAAAATAGCATCTAAAAAGCTTTTAACAGTTATTAAAGAACTTTGAGTTTAATTTAAATTAATAACCACATTACAATGAATAGAAAGAACTGTGCCATTACAAAATGCGGCACACAAAGCAACAACCCAAAGCAATTTCAACAGTTTGTTCAACTGAGAACCAAAAACCGGAAGAGGGAGTAATAAGAGAATAACGGGGAGACTCAACATAATTTTGATACAACTAGAAAAAATCAAAACCTAACTAAAACTAAAGAACCCAGTTTTGTGTACTGCACATATCAATTTACCCCACATGTACGGAGGTCTAAGGAAAATGTCATCATGGCTCTAACGGGCCGGGGAACAAAAAATATTTAAAAATGAAAAAGAAAAAGAATTGTTAACGATCGTTTTCCAAAACTGTGGGCTCCATCTTTGGTTTACCAACTCAACCTCTTAAGTCTTAACACGAGATGGAGAAAATGATGAATGGGTGTTGTTGAAGACAAATTTAGACAATCCTTAGTTGTTGAAGGAGAAGAAAGTGAAAGTAAGGATGGTTACCTCGTCAGAGATTGCAGCAAAGCTGAACCTAAAACCACACCCAGAAGGTGGGTTTTACGCAGAAACGTTTAGAGATTCTTCTATTGTTCTCTCCAAATCTCAACTGCCTCCTCAATGTAAGTCTTTACTCAATTTAAATCTTACCTTTCTTCTTTCACTTTTGCTTTCTTTTGGCATGGTTGATAATATGGCTTTCATTGTTTCCGGATCTTATATGCTACAAATCCAGCAAATATCTTCTTTACCAATCTGGGTATAGATTTTTTCTTGTTTTAGAATATTTGATGTTTAATTTCTAGGGTTTTACTACTTTATCCCCTAACTTTACTGAGGATTGACTGCCCTTGGGTCATGGTTCAAGGTATTCTGATCCTATGACTGCCATCTCCCCACTCGCATTAGTGGAAAAGGCAGCAATTTCTTATTGTATATTCTCTGCGTTTATCGTTGGAAGTTGACCTATTTTATGTGCTTTTCGTCCTGGGTGCTCAAGAAATCATTTTGAAAGTAAGACTGCATGAAATATGTGTTTTTTAATTGGCGGTTTGATGGGATTCACTGATTTATACATGTACTGATTTGGTATTGATTTTTGGATTCTTATGGACATAGTTTCTCAGAATAGATTCTGAAGTCAAAAGCTTGGCTTGGATTCCTAATCATTTATGATTTCTCAGAAGTTAACAATGTAGTTGATGGGCGCATTTTAGATGGGTCTGGCTAGATTTTTAATTTTGAGGAATTTATATTTGCTTTGTTTATGTTGAAATTAAGTTGTACAGTTTCATAGAGCTAATAATTTGATTTTATATCTTCAAATTTGCTGATATTTCTTCAAAAATATGGTTTAAATTAAAGTAATGTGATAGAATCTTCATACTACTTCGGTAATTTTATTTATAAAACATTCATGAAAATTGAAATGCTGTTCTTGAATGTTATTTCCAATATATTTTGTTTGATTTTGAATTTCGTGGGAGTGTAGATACATTTGATTTGGTAATAGGAATCTATTCAGGAAATAAACTTAATTTAACTCGAGACTGTTAAAGCCTGTAGTCTACTCTTTTCTAGTCGTGGAATTCAATAAAGTTATATATCTTAAGACTTAATGTTCTCTGCAGACAAGGTTGATCGCCCTGTCAGCACATGTATTTATTTCCTACTACCATCAGGCAGCGTGTCACACCTTCACCGAATACCATGTGCAGAAACCTGGCATTTTTATGCTGGAGAACCTCTTACGGTACGACTGATACTGGCTTTACTTTAAAAGCTAAAAATAGTGTGCATTCATTGGCCTTTCTAACTTCTAAGCCTGGTTTCCATTACAAAATAAGTTTTTACTTTGATAGCTGGTAATAGTTTGCTTTCATTGAACTTGTCAAGCCTGGTTTCCACCGCAAAATAAATTTTATTTGACAGTTATTTATAATTTAGTGCCTCAGTCCCAAATAGCCCAGCTGTAGGAGCCCTAGGAAAAATGATCCTTTGTTATGAACTAGATTTGTTCATGGGTACTGCATCGCAGGTTAGTTTTGTATCAACCTTTAGCACTGTCAACTGAATTTGGCCTTGCGTTAATTGAATTTGTGCTTGCCAAAGCTACCTTTGGATTCCACAGAACTGTTTTTCTATAATTGAAAGCATTTATTTTGTTAGTCCTTATCAAGTGATTTCTGCTTTGGCTATCACAATCTCCTCTCTGGGATTTCTGATTGGTCATACAAAAGAAAAGACACTTAACATCAACAGTGAAGCATATGATTGATGTTGATTAGAGTAGCACTTTCTTTGATGTGTTCGTTCTGAAATTTCATTGTAGGTAAGAACTCATTGGAGCTTTCCCCTTTAAACAATAAAATATATGGATAAAAATCTGTTTTGCATGATGTATTTCTTATCTAAAGTCAATGATTAATTTTCCTTGAAATGTAATTCTTAAGCTGTGCAAACACATTGCTGAGGACAAATGACCTTTGTAGAGAAGAGATTCTCTGATTTGCAAACTTTTTGCCTCTTGCCAATATTTCTGTTTTGTTTGACGTTGTCTATCTTTCCAACATTATATATTTTTCCTCAGATATTTGAACTAGATGAGAAAGATGGACAAATTAAATTAACAAGTCTAGGAAATGATCTTGTTGGAAGCAATCAGCAACCTCAGTACACAGTGCCTCCAAATGTATGGTTTGGTTCTTTTCCAACCAAGGATGTTCAGATATCCTCAGATGGGTTGGTGAGCAAAGTTGAACCTAGGGATGCCGACAGCCACTACTCCCTTGTTGGCTGCACTTGTGCACCTGCCTTTCAGTTTGAGGACTTTGAGTTGGCAAAGCGCTCTGATATTATATCTCGTTTTCCCAATCATGCAGAGCTCATCTCTCTACTTACCTTTTCTGAGTAAAGAGAAGACTGTTTCTGTACCGATCTGGGAATTTCTGGCTTGTAATGCACCAATGCTTGTGGAAATCAGCTTCTGAGTAAACTACGTACCTCCAAAGTTTTACTTGTATCTCTGGAAATCAGCTAGTCTACTATATGCGTGAAATTTGTAATATTTTTCACTTCAAATTATAAAACAATCGGAAGACTTTGAGTCTTTGTATTCAGCAATCAGCATTTCCATTTGGCAAATGAAACCTACAGCAACTTTAAGAATCTCATAATTTAATAAGCATCTAAAGGTCTCCTCCATAAAGGGATGGTTATGACTATAATGAGTGCAGAATGCTGAAAGCCGCCAGAAAAGAAGGAACTTCGAATAGTTCTACACTTCTACTTTTGTGCTAGAACAAAGCTTAGTATTTTATGTTCTGAAAAATACTCAAACTGTTGGTCAACAAACAAATTACTGCAGTTCAATAAGCAACATGAATTTACGTGTTAAGTCACAAGACAGAGGGTACTGGATGCCATGACTGCTTGAAGGGCCAAAATCCTTAGCCATTCACTTCTGTACTTAGATTGCACCCATCTTGTTCAATTATATTTTCATTTTGTAAAACTCAGTAGTAGACGGATTTTTTATGCTCAACAAGTATGCAAATACATCCAGAGCTGAGATACTAAGGTTTTAAGCATTGGAAAATAGCATCTAAAAAGGCTTTTAACAGTTATTAAAAGAACTTTTGAGTGTAATTTTAAATTGACATAACCACATTACAAATGAATAGAAAGAAACTGTGCCATTACAAAATGCGGCACACCAAAGCAACAACCCAAAGCAATTTCAACAGTTTGTTCAACTGAGAACCAAAAACCGGAAGAGGGAGTAAAAAGAGAATAACCGGGGAGATCAAACATAAATTTTGATACAACTAGAAAAAATCAAAAACCTAACTAAAACTAAAGAACCCAGTTTTGTGTACTGCACATATCAATTTACCCCACATGCTACGGAGGTCTAAGGAAAATGTCATCATGGCTCTAACAGTCCGGAAACCCAACATTCTCCCCAACTTTAGCAAATTAGGCCTTCAGAATTGTTACTATTTTTTTTTCTTCTTTTTACTAACCTCCAGCAAGACAGGAAGCAATAATAAGTTTGACTTTTCCCACCCTCTTCCATTTTCTTTTGGGTCTCCGCTGCAATAATATTTGCAAACAAGGTGTGAACTTGTAACAAAAACAACTGGACCTGTTAATCAAAATCAAGGAACTCCATTCTTTTTCTCATGGAGCCCTTTAAAACAGTAGCATCCTTTTCTGCTTTCTGAGCCTGAAGAGAGGAGAAAATGGATATCAGTAGCTCACAACACGCAAAACAAAATACATATGCATTCAATTGATCATATTAATGCAGTGAGCAGCTTTCATTATTTAGGACAAGCCTAAAGAAAAACAGGACAACAGTAGAAAAAAAAATCCAATATGGGCATAATAACAGAAATATTTTTCATATTTTTCATGAGGTTTCTAAGAATATCAATCTGATAACTAGAGGAACTTTGGGACATGAAATAGTCACAAGGTTTTTACGAACAGTGCTTGGATATCCATTTCATAATATCACAATAATAAAACTTTTACAAAAAGAAGGGCAGTTCTCAAATATATCTCAAGCAGTAGGTAGATTCATTTATCAATTTTAGTGCTGCTCCAAGGTAACCAAACTAATTTTGTTCCAGGCACCATTACTGGATTTGCTTTTCTGGAAAAATCACCTACACATATTTAAAGAGACCTATGTTTAACCTGAACCTAACATATTACTCATGTCATTAGGAAGTTTCTCACAACTAACCCACCTTGAGGTGGGATGCTAGGATGGCAGCCTACCTCCATCTAAACCACAAAGGCAATCATAAATTAAATTCACTTCACATGCTTCAACTATGCGCCCACAGTATAAACATTCCAACATACAAAAGTGCAGTATAAGCATAGATCAACACCAGAGTCAAGGTGCTTACTCTTTTTATTTCTGCTGTTGATACACGAGTCATATGCGGGGGAAGCTCCTCCTTTTCTAAATCCTACATGATGAGTAGCGGAAACTAAGAAACATAATATTCTAGAGAAGAAATTGAAAATAATTGAGCCTCACAGAACTATAGACAAAACATATACCAGCTCTCCAATTAAAACAACATTCTCCCCACGGATTACATATAGACCTAAGGGAATGTCACAGTAAAGATCTCCAACAATAATTCGCTCACAAGCACCTTCAAGAACAACATTAGCTGTACATGGGAAAAGGAATTTCCGTCAGCAACAAAAGTTCAAAAGGACTTAGGCCATGCAAAATTTGCAACCGTTGTGAAATGGATATACTACCAAATTGATCAAAGGAACGGAGTAGCCCCAAGAGCTTTCGACCATCACGCAGCAAGACAAGAATTTTTTCTGCAAGGCATATAAAAGGGTAAGGAGCAGACAATATGCAATGAGTTGACTGTCCTACAGTCACTTAACATATATGTCAACATAATTCTTAATTATATATAACTTAGCGAGAGTGTGAGACTATTTCTGTTGATTACGATAAAGACATTACATGTAGAAGTTTGTATCAATATGAGAACAAAGAAAACTCATAAAAGAAAGTTCAGAAGATATAAAGAAATTTGCATGCACTAGAAAAAATAAATGCTCATACAACAAACTTCACTTCCACCTCTGAGAGGATAACAATGTGACAAACAAAGACCATCAAACATTTACAAGTATCCAGGGAAACAACAAATGCATCCAAAACCATGCCTGTTTCCTAATACTCTCACTTTTTTTAATGACTTCTGAGAATGATATACTGTATCAGACTTCAGTTTGACAATTGAAACATTTCCCTAGAGCAGAAAGGTCAAATTGCAATCGGATGCTGTACAGGAAGCATTTTCTTATTAAAAAAAAAAACCCTACAAATTCACTTAGTAAACTCTAATACTAAAACAGATTCCGCCGAAATACATCACCTTTATACAGCAGTCCTCTAGGTTTTACACAAGGCAGGTCCGTGGGAAATCGAACACCAGACCTTTGTGGAAGCAAACTACTGGCCCAAACAATAAGCTAACCTTCAAGCTTAAATCCCCATAATATTATGATGTTGGCACTCCAAGAAAAACAAAATTTAAATCAGACCCAAGTGGCGGAAAAAGGCAATATAAATCCTATTAATTCTTTCCATTCGACCTTAATTAGTAGCAACATCAGCTTTGATTAGTTCAAGAACAAATTACACTCATTTCCTTCTAGTTGTACTTGCTTCTAATTTAACAAGGCAGTAAAAACAACTGAAACTTGACCAATTTTTTTCTTATTCAAGAAAAGAAAAGTAAATCAAACAGTAAAGTAAACAGAATAATAAATCCAGAAACTCAAAAAGAATCTAATGCGCAACCAAAATTCACACATAAACGAAATCAGTACTGAAAATCAAATAACCGGATTGCAATAAATTGACATCCCATTTCAATCTGAAAAAGTACAAAAAAAAAAAAATATATATATATATATATATATATAGAGCGAGAGAGAGATTACTGTCAAGATAGGTGGCGAGAGAAGTGGAGAGAGAAATATCTTCTGGGCTAGCCCACGACATTGAATTGAGTGTTTTGTGATGCTAATACTACAACTTTCTCCCAAACTAATACCAATGGCATTGGCTTTCAATCAACCCTCCAAGAAAATTTAAAAAAAGAAAAAATACCTACCAAATCTAAATGCTTCTTTAAACAGGTAACTCAAAAATAGGAGCAAAACAAAACCCTAATTTTACTGCACACCCCTCAACTCCATTTCATGATAAAAGAGGAAAAATCTGCGAGCTAATTATGGCACGCTATTATAGAGTTAGGTTTAGACCTTTTTGACAAAAGTCACAAAACTAAAGCCATCGCCAAACAAAACTCTGTATTTTTTTTTATTTTTTTATTTTTATTGAAGTTATAATAACAGAGTTAGAACCAAAGCTTTGAAGCTTTGACCTTTCAAATTTTATATTATTTATTACTATTTTTTTTTTTTTTTATCATTGATCTTATTCAATTTTACTATAATTATTATTAATATATATATAATTATCGAAGACTTTTTAAACTTGTATATATAAATAAATCTTTTATAAAAAAAATTTTGCCAAAAACTTAAATGCATTTTGAGATAATATTTAATACTATTTACTATTAATATAAAAATAAATTAATAAAAAAGGCAATAATAAATCTTCCGGGAGTAAATTAAATTTGATTAAAAAGTTGTAATTTAGTGAATGTAAATGTGGGGAGGGATTCAATTATTGGAGTTTGTGCATAGGCCCGATCCCGCTAGTATTTAGTTTAGTTAAAGACTTTAAGTAGTCAATTAGGTCTGGACGCGTGGCAAATTATATTATAATTGATTTTTTTGGGTGTCCCTTCGTTCCTATGATGGGATTATGTGATCTGGATAAGTGCATTCTAATGTTTAATTTATTAAAATTAATTAATCAAATTAAACCTCTTATGAGTTATGATATGATATAAATAATATCTAATTGGTATTTTATACATAAATATGTGATTTGATACAAATTATTAGAACTAGACTTTCAAATTTGAAGTTGTTTATTATCATAATTTATTTATAATTGTTAGTGTAAGAATCCAATCTCTACTTGACAAGTTTTTGTTTTTGCATATGAATAAATACACGAAATCTTTTGTATAAACAGCAAAATATGCCTACAAAACAAATATACTCGCAAATTCAGAATTGAATAGAAGAAATAATTAATTTTATTAGTAAACCTAAAATTAGAAAAAGTATTTACAGAAACGGCCTAACACCATTGGACTAAAATAAGAGTGGTGTTATTTAAGTCTCGTACAATCTTTCTTTAAACTCTAATAATAATTAAAATTATTTGAAATAATAAATATATTTTATTTTATTCCAAGATAATTCCTTTCTAAGATTTTGTTTCAAAATCTCTTCATAAACCTCACCATCTAATTTTATTCTTACATTAAATTCTAGTTGCTTTTTTTTTACATCTTTTTTATCTATGTTAAATTTCATGACATTCATTCAATAACATTAAGCATAATATTTTGTATCCTAAATATCCTCCATTACGTTAACAACCTCCTTTGTTGATTTTCCAAAGCTATCAAGCAAAGACCATTTGCTGTAGGAAGAGGGTAATGAAAGCTTGTTTAGTATCACATTTTTCACGTGTCTTTTTTTTTTTTTTTAACCAAGAAATCATAGATGGCAAAAGAAAATTTTAACAAGAAAATAATTAAAATTTTACTTTTTCATGATTATTATCATCCATTGATCGAATTCATCCTCCGTCACTTCAAAATATGTTTAAATTTTTTTTTTTTTAACCAAGATGTTCGGGTCAGCTTATGCGTATTTTAACTAATTTTCGGAGTCCATTGAACACTTTACAAGTCTAATAGACTAGATAAGTCACAAATGTGGTAGGTTCATACAAGACCTCTAGGTAACTTAAGGTCTTGCCATTCAGTCACAAGCCAAGTGAAATATGTTTAATCTTAAAAACAAAATTCTAAACTTGTAAAAAAGTTTAGGGTTTTATAAAATAAAAAGAGTTTTTTAAAAGTTGGTTTAGTAAAAGACTTAATGCTCTTTTCGGTAAATACAAATTTAAAAATTATATAATTTTTGAAAAACTATTATTGAGATAAAGAAATTGGGTAGGGCTTAAATACTCTTGAACTAAAACTAACTACCTTGAGATCTCTTTCCGTTAGTTTTTTTCCAATTACAGTGTGTTTGGTTCAAAGAATATTGTATTAGTGAGAATATTGTATTAGTGAGAATATTATATTAATAGGAAGATAGATTACCTTGAAAATAACTAGGAATGTTATATTAAATGTGTTTAGTTAGATTGAAATAAATTTGTGGGTATGTTATATTGATATGTTTGGTTGGGAGGAATAAATTAGTGGGTATGTTATATAGATTATTGAATTGCCTTTCTTTTTTAATATTATTATATTATTATTATTTGAATTAATTTTTTAACTCCCTATATTTGAGATTTTGCTAAAACACCACAACCATAAGAAAAGTTTAAAAATTAGTCAAAACACCCCACCCACCCAAGAGGATAACCGACAGTTGGTTGAATCTGGATTGTGTGTCGATTTGACCGTTTCCAGCCAGATCAATGGTCAGAAATGGCTAGATCCCTGCTCGTTAACGATCATTCTCTGGCCATTTCCACTCTAGCTGTGGATCTGGCCGTAATGGATATGGCCATTTTCGGCCATTGATTAGGTTGGAAACAGCTAAACCGAAGCACGATTGACCAGATCCGACCAGTCCTGCACCGTTCCAACGACTACCAGTGGTCAGCAGTCCTCCTGGGTGGTTGGGGTGTTATGGTAAGGTTATGTAAATTGTTTTCAAAACAAAGGCATTAATGTCCAAAAAAATTATTACTTAGGGGTAAGATTGTAATTGTACGGTTCATGTAAATTGTATTTCAAAACAAGGGCATTACTGTCCAAAATTTTTATTAATTAGGGATAAAATTGTAATAAAATTAATATTATCAAGTAATCTTAAAATACCTAAGAAAATGATGGTATTTAGATTACCACCTATATAATCAATAGTGATTACTATTGGTATTGGAGGATTTTTGGAATCTTTTATTAAATGACAACCAAACATTATAATCAATATTCTGAAACCTGGACCAGAAGGTAACCCGGCCAAGTGACCGGTTTTCGGTTTGAACGGTCCAACCAGTCTGACCAGCGAGTCAGATCGATGAGGTCAGCAAATATATATATATATATCACCTCATCTTCTCTTTCTTTTTTCTTCTTCTCACTTGTCACCTCATCTTCTCTTTCACCTTTTTTTTTCCTCTCTTTCTCCCCCATCATCTTCTCTTCCTCCTTCTGCTTCTTCTCTTTCATTTTTGTTAAATAGTTGTTATAACTGTATCAGTTTTGTTTCAGTTCAATTAGTTAGTTAGTTACAACCTGAGTTAGTTGAGTTAATTTATTTTAATGTAATATAAAGCATTTGTACAATAACGATGGAAAGTGAATCAATAAAGCAAAGTTTTCCCCAAATTTCCCTCTGTTCACCAACACTCAATCTCTTCAACATGGTATCAGAGCTTCAATTTTCCGTAATCTAACTTGAAAATCAGCTGAATCAAGCTTCCAATTTGATCTTTGCTAAGCTCAACAAAGCTGAAAATTTCTCAGTTTCTTCATCCTAGCTTGATTTGCTAAGAATTCAACGTCGACAATGACATCCTCCACTGAAGAATCAGTTGTTCCTTCGATCAATTCAAACTCTCCTCTCTATGTTCATCCTTCTGATACACCAGGTACTGTTCTTGTTTCTAAATAGCTTGTAGGAATAGAAAACTATGGATTATGGAGTACAGCTATGACTGTTTCTTTATGTGCAAAAAATAAATTAGGTTTCGTTAATGGAACATGCACAAAATCATCAATTCATACTCAGTTAGTGCCACAATGGGAAAGATGCAATTCCTTAGTGTTATCCTGGATCTCTAATTCAGTATCAAAAGAAATTTTTAACAGAATTGTATATTCTACTGATGCTTACCAAGTTTGGCAACATTTAAAGGAACAACTCCATAAAGTCAATGGGACTAGGATTTTTGGTATCCATAGAGAAATTGCTAATTTTACACAAGGAACAAACACTGTAGCAGTGTATTACAACAAACTCAAGTCTTTGTGGGATGAGTTAGATTCGTTAGTAAGTCTACCTACTCCAGATAGTGTATCAGCAAAGGCATTCCTTGAACACCTGAATCAACAGAAATTGTTACAATTTCTAATGGGATTGAATGACTCATATTCTATGGTTAGGAGTCAAATCCTATTGATGAACCCATTGCCAAGTGTTAAACAGGCCTATTCTATAGTACATCAAGATTAAAGCTAGAGAATTCTTGTTGGCATGAATGTTAATTCAAAAGTCACAACTGCTCTTTATGCTCAGAACAACAGTAAGCATCAAAATCCAGGCCAAAAATATAAGGGTAAAAGACCATATATTAAGTGTGAGTATTGTGATTTACCTGGTCACAAACGAGAGAGTTGCTGCAAACTAAATGGGTATCCTGTTGATTATCAGTTCACAAAAGGTAGAACAAATTCTAAGGGCAAGGTTTCTGCTAATCAAGCTCAAATGCAAAATGTAGTCTTAAAGTCATCAGATGCTGGAACTACAAAGGCTTCTGGAAATGCTAATGCTCAAATTGGTCCCGTTTTAACAATTGACCAATATAATCAAATCCTTCAGCTCTTAGGAAAGGAGAATGTCAATCCTCCAACTGCTAATCTTTTAGGTACCCTCACTGATTCTGCTACTGCTTTCTTTTCTTGCTTGAATAATGCCACTTGGATCATAGATACAGGAGCTACAGATCACATGACTAGCAATTATTCAATTTTACAATCACATATAGCTATAGAACCTACCACACAATCCCTTGTAGGATTACCAAATGGAACCAAAACACATATTAGACATATAGGTTCTGTAGACTTGGATAATGGTTTTCATCTTTCAAAAGTTCTGCACATCCCAGACTTTAAACACAATTTGCTGTCAATCTCTAAATTTACTATTTCCAATAACTGTGCCATTACATTTTATCCTGATTTTTGCCTCATTCAGGATCTTTGCAGTGGCAAGTTGAGAGGGATTGGTAAGCATGACCAAGACTTATATCTTCTTGATCCAATGTCCAAACATTTGCCAGCTTTGTCAGATTTAAAGATTTTAAATAAGATCGCTTCAAATGTTTTGTATTCAAAAGATACTGTTCCAATGTTTTTCATTCGAATAATCATGTACTATCAATTTTACCATTGAATAAGGATGTTAATTCATATGTGTCTCTTTTATCTACAA